AGGTGTGCAGACACGTATGCTCACACACGTTTCATAGTACAGCTTTATGTAGCCTTCCACATTCCATAAAATCAAGCCGTTATCTAATGTCATAAATACCTGTTGATCAACTTGCAGTGTAAACATCACAATAATTAACCATGATTAAGTGAAGTGATTAGGATGCAGTCATGTGATATTTCACCAATGACGACAGAAATTTGCAAGATAACGAGACACCCATTTTCATTTTACTGAAATATGGGATGATTATTTCTAGGGCATCAACAGCCGCAAATAGGTACACGACTCTGGAGCCGTCAATCGCTAAGTAATTCCTTAGACATGGGTGTGTTGAATTTATACAGTGGAAACATAAAATATGTTTTAATTCCATGCAATGGCTTTTGCAGTGTACCTGTTGTTGTACCTCTGATGTACACATCGCGGTGCGTACGTAGAGGCATATAATGTCTTCATTGGTCAAATGTAATCCTAGCTACTACCACTGGCTACTATACTGTTCTGCTTACATATGAATTGCTGTGAAATAGCCACGGTACATACAAGTGTTTGCGGACACGCGTTCACATTCTACCCCACCACAGGTAGAATGAATAAATGAATGAATGAATGAATGAATGAATGAATGAATGAATGAATGAATGAATGAATGAAAAGTGACATTTAAAGACAAAAGTCAAAAGTACGAGTGAGATTTCAGACACGTCCTTGGAAAAAAGTGCATCTATCTATGTTACAACTCCATGACATCTTTCATCAGGGAAGGTTAAACACATTTCAACCAAACATAGTGTTAAATCCGTAAATTGCTTCAATATTGCTGATTAAATATTGCTGGCGGCTCTGTACAGTTTATGCAATATCCTTAATGCTATGGGTGCATATGTCCTCAGTGTGTGTGACAAGGCTACACATATAGATAAAACAACGTATAACGACAAGGCGTCGTGTAGATACAATCAGTAAGCGTGATACAGGTCCTTGAACCCACCTTGAACTTGATCCTGTATAAGGCGTTATACATATAGTTTGTGGAAGGGCATTACTAATGAAACATCAAAATGGCGCAGCATATATTTGGTAGGTAGAGAGAAGAACAAACTTGTCCTGGAGGTCATAGGAAACCATGTTACTTCAGTGTCTTGTAATTGGTTACAGTGTTGTTGTTTTTCAGTAAACAAAGATCCGGGAAACTTTTATTCATGATGTTGAATTTCTTATCCCTGTTGGAACAATACAGTTGCTTGGGCCATTTAGGCTTAGACGAATTGTCACATGTTTTGTAAGATAGGTTTCGTTCAGACTTGTAATCTTGTTATCTCTTGCCCGGATTTCAGTAATGTTCACTTTGAATGAGTGATGTTTAGTAGTCATTGCTGCCACACATGTATTGTGTTACGCCATGAATGATTAGCGTGCCCATGAAGTCTTGGTGTGTTCCAGACACAATACCTGAGTCAATAATAAACTAACAGTTTAGGAGATCTAGCAGTAGTGAAAGTAATTACAACAACATAATGTTCACGCCAATTGCTGACCGAACCGTTTACAGAGATGCCTGTGCTAATAGTCAAATACATTGACGATATTCTATTTGTATGTAAGAGCTGAAGTGTGCTGGAATGGGTGGCCTTCGGGATTCCTGAAGTTGTTGAGGCATGCCTCTGTGTCTGTGTATTTGTGATGTGTGTGCGTTGGTGGGTGGGTGTTTGACTGTGGGTGGGTGTGTGCGTGTACGTGCGTGTGTGTGTGTGTGTGTGTGTGTGTGTGTGTGTGTGTGTGTGTGTGTGTGTGTGTGTGTGCTGAGGGGGTAGGGTCATATATGATGTAATGGGGTATTATTATGACAATAGTCATAGCTTTAGTCTATATTTTCCTCCTTCTAAATGGATATTATTTAACCCAGGATGCCTACTGTCTGCTTTTGCGTGCTGCATGTACTAACACAAATACAACATTTCATTTGGACATAATACCCTTATAACATATGCTTAGTACGTTTGACATATATAACAAATGCCTAGTGCTAAAAAATCTCTAAGTCTTAACCTGTTTTGAACAAAAACATTTGATTAAATATGGAATATACTCACTAGCGTCATTTCTCAGCTACCCCGTCACTTTCGAGTGTCAATAAGTGGCACGTACTTTTCAAGCAGACCTACTGATCTGACAATATCAAATTTAACCCTTGGAGTCTTGGAGGAATATAACAGAGTAATGTCAGGAAATAAATGTAGAGCGTTGTGTCTTTATGAGACCAACTAATATTGGTGTTTGAAAATCATTGATAACATTGCCCAACCCAAAACAAATTTAAAATGTTCTTGATCATCTGAATATTATAGCGATGTGTTCTAATAAACTTAATCTAAAACTTTCCAGACAGTTTCGAAAACGTTTAGGGTTCGAACGTTTTTAAGCATCAACACGTGTTTAAATTATCCTACAAGGATTGAACACTTTAATAGAGTACTTACCTCATAGACACCTTCCACAGAAAGGAATTGCCCGATGCTAATATAAAGACAGAAAGACGTGTTAAGAACAATTTGCTGTGATCAGGTCATGATACATTTTGAACTCACAGCTATGAATTACCAAACGATACCCTTCTTGGGACCCTAGCGTCAGTGGCTGCAGCAAGCGAACATTCAATTTGGATGAAGGAGAGAGGTTCTACTGTTACGTTTTTGGCTTTAGTTTCCGGAGCATTAGTTCTTGAAATTGGGCTTTCCTTCGGGCATACAAAATATGCTGTTTCTGTATCCTAGTTCCTACAGTGGCCATTGAAAAGAATCATTGTTATTGTAACATAAGCCATGCATGCAATGGAAGATAAGCGAAATTAATTTTCTATGATGAGTTAAGCAAGAATCAACTAGAGTACCATTCTTCATGCAACCTTAACTTGGAAATACAGGAAAACATTAAAGAGAAACCACTAGTGTGCCATAGTCAGCAGGACATTCTTATAACTGTATTTGAATAGGATCTTAACTGAGTTTAAAAATGCATGGGGAAAGACAATTGCACTCCACTTTAATTTTGATCTAGTTAGAAGAATAGACTGAAAATTCACTTGAGATATTAATTTATGGCGAGGCACAGCTTACAAATTCACCCATAAGGAAATATCTATATTTTAGAAATGCATCCTGTTGCCACAGATTTCGCTAAACATATGTAGGTTTCATGGTTCATATTCTTCGAAAGCTGTCCTGCAGAAATTTGAGAAAACCCATAGAATGAAAATTATAGGTATATTAAAACATTCAATTTGAATATGAGCACTGACGTTTAAACACTTAAAAGTTGTTTTATAGCATCACCTAACCGGTTAGAAAGCTTGCATGTTATTGTATCCTTCATGGCAAATTCCATATTCAATTCCAGCAGATTGTGAATGACTATGACTTTCCAGTGTAAAGCACAGAAGGACTAAAAGCCATTTATCCTCCTTAAGTTTAAATCAAAACCTTGTATTTACTTTGGAACTGACTATGATATCAATGAATAACATTTACAATTATTTCACGCATTAGAAATATATGAAAATGATAACCATCACACATTTTTGTCATATATGTTCATAGTTTACCTACCATGTGCATTTTATTTCAGGAGAAATGTCAATTTGGCAGCCACATTATACGTAAATTTCAAACTTTGGTCATATGGGCCTCGGATGATACGTTTATTTCGTCCCATTTTTAAATTTCGGAAATACTGTTCCTTCTTGTTGTGTGTGAACCCGCTGTGTGCGGGTCTGGGGAGTCGATTAGCTCCGGGTCAGCTCACAGTCAAGGACGAAACGACATACCAATATACCGAGAACAACAAATGAGTCGGAACGTTTCTTGTGTTTACATGGCATAGGACAGAACAAACATAAATATATAGTGCCTGATGAGCTAAAAATTATTTCTCTTGAAGCTTTGTTTCATGTTAGTGCATTCAAGAAGAATATACATTTGTTTGTTGCTTTAGACGATTAATGAAAGTGCGTGCATTCCACTGAACATTAGAATGGGGCTTTCAGTGCTATACGGTAAACATGAACAGTTTGTTAATCACTAGTCCCTTTTAAGGAAAATTGTATGAATAACAGGTGCTATTAGTTGGCAGGACATGCTTACCCCTTTCGCAAATTGGTCCATTCATATAATTTTCACAGCTGTTTTGTCCTCTACACCAGAGAGACTTTGTTTCTGGGGGAGGACAAGACTAGTTATTCCTTTACACTGAAATCCATCGGTGTTTCAGTCGTGAATCGTTTTGCTTGTTTCTGGCCGTTCTGTAGTTAAAGATGGATATACAGAGGTAATTAAATAATCATACATCATAAAGCAATAATGTGTCTCAAATGGCAGAAAGTTATAGATTTGGCCATGCTACCTCGTCACCATCATGCCGTCATACGAATGGTAGGACACTTACGGATAACAACGTCTTTATTGTATTGTACTATGACGTTTCAAACAGATCATGATTTCATAAACAGATATGAAGTAGAGAAAAGATGTTATCATGAAACTGATTGTACTAATTAACTGCTCTCATTAGCAACACCTCTCCTTTTCAGGCCTGCTATACTCCTTTTTTCTGCAATGTTTATTTACCCATTGTTACCCGACAATCAATATCTAATTATCATACTCACCGGCTGCTTGCTGCTAATTGAGCTCTTTCCGAAGGCCGGAACACCGTTGGTCAGTTCATCCGGCCAAACAAAAGGTTCAGATTGTATCAAGGACGTATGTACGCTTGATGGCCCCAGGTGTTTAGCTTATCGGTATCTTGTTTGTGTTGTCCACCTGTTGATCAAACCCTCCACGCTCGGCTGGCGGTGATCTCGTTTTCATTGCCAAGCACACGGTGGGGTTTAAATCTTTGATTGTCTTGTTGACAGATAAACTTGTTTGTGACGTCATGTTTCCGTGATCAGTTCAGTATAAATATGAGCGTATATTCGTATCAGTTATCATTCACCAGAGATGCGATTGTTGCTGCAGCTAGCTATAGTATGTTTGTATGCAGGGGTGGCAGAGAGTGCCTGTCCCCACCTGGAGGCTGGGCTGGAGAACTGGGGAGACACAACTTCCTGGACATCGGGTGTATTGCCGATTGAAGATGACCAAGTTGTTATTCCATCAGGTAAACATAGTTTATGAGCAGCAGTACATATGTCTGCATTCCAAAACCCTGTTATTACATACATTGAAAAAGGTTATTACATATATTGAAAGGACTTGACTGAGTGACGCTCCATTCATGCCCAACCTCTGGTGTTGGTGGCAGCTGTATACCTACACACCAGCCATAACATATAATCCAAATGATCAACATGCTCATTTACAGGACATATATGTGTGTGACGCCTCTTTTCATCATAATTATCATGGCATCTCTACTTTCAAGCTCAGTGAACCAAACAATGTCTTTGAGACGGCTTTGTTCAACTGTCTTCCAAGGTGTACAACTAGACATCACTCCCGGATGATCATAAAGGCAGTTTATTGCCATCATATATACCATACACTTCAACTGACCGCATCTCTGTAACTGACGACTTGTCTGGTTGGCGAATGAACCAGTATTTATACTTTGCTTCACACAGGAAAGTTTCCTCCATGCCTGTATTATGACTGTATTTCGTGGGTACCGAGCAATAAAACGTCCATAAAAAAATTCCCATATCACCTTACATACGAGTTAATGAAACCGTCGCAGTATTCACTTTCTTAGTGGTGCGTAAGTTAGTCCTTACAAATTTAAATTAATATATATATAAAATATGTATGTGTGTGTGTGTGTGTGTTTTTTTTTATAAATTGATATATAGAGATATAAATTGTTTATTTACAGTCCATGCTTGTTCCCAAACGTTTTATCCGCACACTTGTGTGTGTATTTTGTGTTTCTCGTTGTGACTAACGCCAGCCAGCGACACAACAAATATCTTTAGCTTTACCCAAATGTGTCAGAGGGAGGATTAGTGCTGTGCACAAGACAGATCATACAATAAACAAAAATACACTATGCTTTTAAAAATACACTATGCTTTGGTTCCAGGCAAGAAGCTCCTTCTGAACGTGTCCCCGCCCTGTCTGTCCTCCATCACCATCGAGGCTGGAGCAGCGTTAGTGTGGGGCGACGTGGACAACCTCAACGTCTGTGTCAGCTACATCCTCATCAGAGGCCGCCTCCAGATCGGCAGTGAAGACTGCAGGTTCACCAGGAAAACTCACATCAGACTTACAGGTTGGTTGTAGTTATTTGACGCAGTGAGACACGTTATACTAATAATCAACACTCGACTCCTTGACTGCGATCAAGGGACACCAAACTATTTCCGTTGTAATGTTACTTACTCTCTTGCTAATTTTTTGTAAACGGCAAAATCAGTATTTAATCAGCGAAAGGAATACTCTATACAGAATCTTTAACTGTAGACTAAGATTTTTTACAGGTTATGACGCTTAGTTTCAGTAAGGACATTCCCATAAATTCTCGAACCCTTGGATTGATCTTTGGTTGTTACGAATTCGTCTCTTCTATGTTATTTGGTGAAAGTGAAAGTTAACACACTATTCCAGTCCACACAGAAGTAGTGTCAGTCAGTTTCGTATGTTTTACAGTGATAATCAAATAGGACATCTATATCGCCAGTGGTTATTTCCTGTTACCTCTGAAATACAACATACCACTGCCACAGGGTCATTTGAAATATAGAATGTCAGTGTCACCATACTATATCGAATACAGCATATCGTTGTCGTTCAGCCATGTGGAATATAACATGCATTTGTTTCCCGGCAAGTGGTACACATAATGTAAACTTTATCCCGCTAATTCCCAAGGAGCATGTCATCTGCATCACGATAAGATTGACAATTCCAATTTATCGACTAAATCCACCCTGCACATTTGAAACACTTGCCTGTCAAATTCAGTACATCGCGGTGTAATTCTAACATGAAATGATATAATCAGATCTGCAACTTTTAATATTCCCAGGTGAAAGCAACTCCACGCTGTCTGTTTCTGGCTTTGGGAGGAAGTTCATTGGCGTGGCTGCAGGAGGCACGATTGAGGTACATGGAGAAGAGAAGCCATCATGGACGAAGTTGATCCAGACAGCTGAACCAAGCACCTGTGACAACCTGTTCAATTTCCAGGTGAGACTCTCGAGCTTTCAGATACCAATGACGGAGTCTCTATCATTAGGGCGGGACAGTGTAATGTTCAGATACCAATAGGATACCCTATAACATCAGGGCCGACAGTGTAATGTTCAGACACCAATAGCATAACCTATAACATCAGGGCGTAACAGTGCAATGTTCAGACACCAATAGGATAACCTATAACATAAGGGCGTTACAGTGTAATGTTCAGACACCAATGTGATAACCACTAACATTAGGGCGCAACAGTGTAATGTTCAGATAACAATGTGATAACCAGTAACATCAGGGCGAGACAGTGTAATGTTCAGACACCAAAGGGATAACCTACTAACATCAGGGCGAGACAGTGTAATGTTCAGATACCAGTAGGATAACCTATTACATTAGGACGAGACAGTGTAATGTTCAGACGCCAATAGGATATCCTTTCACATCAGGGGGCGACAGTGTAATGTTCAGATACCAGTAAGATAACCACTAACATTAGGGGGCGACAGTGTAATGTTCAGATACCAATGGGATAACCTTTAACATTAGGGCGAGACAGTGTAATGCTCAGATACCAGTAGGATAACCTTTAACATTAGGGGGCGACAGTGTAATATTCAGATACCAATGGGATAACCTTTAACATTAGAGAGAGACAGTGTAATATTCAGATACAAATAGGATAACCTTTAACATTAGGGGGCGACAGTGTAATATTCAGATACCAATGGGATAACCTTTAACATTAGAGAGAGACAGTGTAATATTCAGATACCAGTAGGATAACCTATTACATTACAGAGAGACAGTGTAATGTTCAGACACCAATGGGATAACCTTAAACATTAGAGAGAGACAGTGTAATATTCAGATACCAATAGGATAACCTTTAACATTAGGGGACGACAGTGTAATATCCAGATACCAATAGGATAACCTTTAACATTAGGGGACGACAGTGTAATGTTCAGATACCAATGGGATAACCTTTAACATTAGAGAGAGACAGTGTAATATTCAGATACCAGTAGGATAACCTTTAACATTAGGCGGTGACAGTGTAATGTTCAGATACCTATGGGATAACCTTTAACATTAGAGAGAGACAGTATAATATTCAGATACCAATAGGATAACCTTTAACATTAGGCGGTGACAGTGTAATGTTCAGATACCAATGGAATAACCTTTAACATTAGAGAGAGACAGTGTAATATTCAGATACCAGTAGGATAACCTTTAACATTAGGCGGTGACAGTGTAATGTTCAGATACCAATAGGATAACCTTTAACATGAGGGGACGACAGTGTAATATCCAGATACCAATGGATAACTTTAACATTAGGGCGACGACAGTGTAATATTCAGATACCAGTAGGATAACCTTTAACATTAGGGGGATAACCACTAACATCAGGGCGAGACAGTGTAATATTCAGACACCAATGAGATAACCAACATCAGGGTGTAACCTTAACCACTAACATTAGAGAGACAGTGTAATATTCAGATACCAGTAGGATAACCTTTAACATTAGAGAGAGACAGTGTAATATTCAGATACCAATGGGACAACCTTTAACATTAGAGAGAGAGACAGTGTAATATTCAGATACCAATAGGATAACCTTTAACATTAGGGGGCGACAGTGTAATGTTCAGATACCAATGGGATAACCTTTAACATTAGAGAGAGACAGTGTAATATTCAGATACCAGTAGGATAACCTATTACATTAGAGAGAGACAGTGTAATGTTCAGACACCAATGGGATAACCTTAAACATTAGAGAGAGACAGTGTAATATTCAGATACCAGTAGGATAACCTTTAACATTAGGGCGAAACAGTGTAATATTCAGATACCAGTAGGATAACCTTTAACATTAGAGAGAGACAGTGTAATATTCAGATACCACTACGATAACCTTAAACATTAGAGAGAGACAGTGTAATATTCAGGTACCAATAGGATAACCACTAACATTAGGGGACGACTGTGTAATATCCAGATACCAATAGGATAACCTTTAACATTAGGGGGCGACAGTGTTATATTCAGATATCAATGGGATAACCTTTAAGATTAGGGGACGACAGTGTAATGTTCAGATACCAGTAGGATAACCTTTAACATTAGAGAGAGACAGTGTAATATTCAGATACCAATAGCATAACCTTTAACATTAGGGGACGACAGTGTAATATCCAGATACCAATCGGATAACCTTTAACATTAGGGGACGACAGTGTAATATCCAGATACCAGTAGGGTAACCTTTAACATTAGGGGGCGACAGTGTAATATTCAGATACCAATGGGATAACCTTTAACATTAGAGAGAGACAGTGTAATATTCAGATACCAGTAGGATAACCTTTAACATTAGAGAGAGACAGTGTAATATTCAGATACCAATGGGACAACCTTTAACATTAGAGAGAGACAGTGTAATATTCAGATACCAATAGGATAACCTTTAACATTAGGGGACGACAGTGTAATATCCAGATACCAGTAGGATAACCTTTAACATTAGGGGGCGACAGTGTAATATTCAGATACCAATGGGTTAACCTTTAACATTAGAGAGAGACAGTGTAATATTCAGATACCAGTAGGATAACCTTTAACATTAGAGAGAGACAGTGTAATATTCAGATACCAATGGGACAACCTTTAACATTAGAGAGAGACAGTGTAATATTCAGATACCAATAGGATAACCTTTAACATTAGGGGGCGACAGTGTAATGTTCAGATACCAATGGGATAACCTTTAACATTAGAGAGAGACAGTGTAATATTCAGATACCAGTAGGATAACCTATTACATTAGAGAGAGACAGTGTAATGTTCAGACACCAATGGGATAACCTTAAACATTAGAGAGAGACAGTGTAATATTCAGATACCAGTAGGATAACCTTTAACATTAGGGCGAGACAGTGTAATGTTCAGATACCAATAGGATAACCTTAAACATTAGGGGGCGACAGTGTAATGTTCAGATACCAATGGGATAACCTTTAACATTAGAGAGAGACAGTGTAATATTCAGATACCAGTAGGATAACCTTTAACATTAGAGAGACAGTGTAATATTCAGATACCAATAGGATAACCTTTAACATTAGAGAGAGACAGTGTAATATTCAGATACCAATAGGATAACCTTTAACATTAGGGGACGACAGTGTAATATCCAGATACCAATCGGATAACCTTTAACATTAGGGGACGACAGTGTAATATCCAGATACCAGTAGGATAACCTTTAACATTAGGGGGCGACAGTGTAATATTCAGATACCAATGGGACAACCTTTAACATTAGAGAGAGACAGTGTAATATTCAGATACCAGTAGGATAACCTTTAACATTAGAGAGAGACAGTGTAATATTCAGATACCAATGGGACAACATTTAACATTAGAGAGAGACAGTGTAATATTCAGATACCAATAGGATAACCTTTAACATTAGGGGGCGACAGTGTAATGTTCAGATACCAATGGGATAATCTTTAACATTAGAGAGAGACAGTGTAATATTCAGATACCAGTAAGATAACCTATTACATTAGAGAGAGACAGTGTAATGTTCAGACACCAATGGGATAACCTTAAACATTAGAGAGAGACAGTGTAATATTCAGATACCAGTAAGATAACCTATTACATTAGAGAGAGACAGTGTAATGTTCAGACACCAATGGGATAACCTTAAACATTAGAGAGAGACAGTGTAATATTCAGATACCAGTAGGATAACCTTTAACATTAGAGCGAGACAGTGTAATGTTCAGATACCAATAGGATAACCTTAAACATTAGGGGGCGACAGTGTAATGTTCAGATACCAATGGGATAACCTTTAACATTAGAGAGAGACAGTGTAATATTCAGATACCAGTAGGATAACCTTTAACATTAGAGAGAGACAGTGTAATATTCAGATACCAATAGGATAACCTTTAACATTAGAGAGAGACAGTGTAATATTCAGATACCAATGGGACAACCTTTAACATTAGAGAGAGACAGTGTAATATTCAGATACCAATAGGATAACCTTTAACATTAGGGGACGACAGTGAAATATCCAGATACCAATCGGATAACCTTTAACATTAGAGGACGACAGTGTAATATCCAGATACCAATAGGATAACGTTTAACATTAGGGGGCGACAGTGTAATGTTGAGATACCAATGGGATAACCTTTAACATTAGAGAGAGACAGTGTAATATTCAGATACCAGTAGGATAACCTTTAACATTAGAGAGAGACAGTGTAATATTCAGATACCCATGGGATAACCTTTAACATTAGGGGGCGACAGTGTAATGTTCAGATACCAATGGGATAACATTTAACATTAGAGAGAGACAGTGTAATGTTCAGATACCAATAGGATATCCTTTTACATTAGGGGGCGACAGTGTAATGTTCAGATACCAGTAGGATAACCACTAACATAAGGGGGCGACAGTGTTATGTTCAGATACCAATGGGATAACCTTTAACATTAGGGGGCGACAGTGTAATGTTCAGATACCAATGGGATAACCTTTAACATTAGGGGGCGACAGTGTAATGTTCAGATACCAATGGGATAACCTATAACATTAGGGGGCGACAGTGTAATGTTCAGATACCAATGGGATGACCTTTAACATTAGAGACAGACAGTGTAATATTCAGATACCAGTAGGATAACCTTAAACATTAGAGAGAGACAGTGTAATATTCAGATACCAATAGGATAACCTTTAACATTAGGGGACGACAGTGTGATGTTCAGATACCAATGGGATAAGCACTAACATTAGGGCGAGACAGTGTAATGTTCAGATACCAGTAGGATAACCTATAACATTAGAGAGAGACAGTGTAATATTCAGATACCAGTCGGATAACCTATAACATCAGGGCGAGACAGTGTAATGTTCAGATACCAATGGGAAAACCTCTTCAACTTTAGTTTGGGCATTTAGTTTTAGCTTTCAGACACCAATGACATCACCACTAGCTTCAAGGTGAGTTATTGTAATTTTGAGATACGCATGACAGATTCAGTATATTAGTTCCAACAGATGGTTCGCCCAGCTACTGGCTATGTCGGATAGGCTTACCAGATGGTTGGCTCACTCACTAGGAGCGTGACAATGCGTTATATGACCACTGACATGAAGCAATTGAGTCCAGTGCAACCTTATCTCTATTCACAAGAAGTAACGCTCGGTGTGATTCATCGAAGACCTTTTTCTTGAAATTTAAGAAATAATATTGTGATATCTGGAAAGAATGAACGCATTGCCAGTGTACAACTATGCAAGGATATTAATCAATTTGACGTCATTTGCTGGCATGACGTCTTAAGATAACTACTCTTCTTTACAATCGTTCATCAAATAATTTGTTTGTTCTTCCACGCATTTGAAAGAGTCACTGAAATATAAAGATCAAAACTCAAATACACATCTCCTTCTATAAGTAATATTATCTTTCAGACAAGCGTATTTCAGGCGGAGTCTTCCCGAGGTCTGTACGTGTCTGTGTTTAATGAGGACAGCTCTCTGTGGGACTTTGTCGTGTTCAGGACTGGGGAGGACATCGCTGCCGAGGAACTCAAATTCCAGGAATTTATAGAAAGTAAGTTATTCAAGGAAGTACTTTCATCATATCACTTTATATTTTTTATTACTATCCTATAACTGTATATCATATACAACGTATCTGAATGTCAAAAGTACTACCTTTGTTTTGGATTCCACCCACACGTGTGACGTGCATTTGTAATTTTGAGTCGATCTTCCATCCCATCGATAGATGTATTGTTAAAAAAACCAAGAACAAATCATACTTCAGGCTTGATATGATTGTAGTGTAATATAGCCTGCACGTTATACTTTTGAATGTGTACTTCTTATGTTACACTTACAGGTGTTCCCCAAGACAAGATTCTGGCAGTTGCTCTTCAAGGTGAACTTGGAACTGGTGACATGACCGCTGTGTACACAACACTGGAGGCAGCTGGGGGTCTGACGTCATCAGCTATCAGGAGCGTCACAGGCAGACAAGCTTACGCCTTTATCACAATAACAGGTGATTTACGATTCATTGCTCTTACAAAAGTGAACAACCATGTTTACCGTAAAGACAAACAAAAACGAGCATTGCGTGGAAGCTATGTGTGCGTTGTTTCTAACAAACCTTTTGTGTGTCACCGTGTTCTGACCGCGTGAATTAGTACTGATGATAACAACAACATCTTCATCTTGCCCTGATTATCTCCAGAACACTGTGTTATTGTTGGGATATTGATGGGGCATGATAACAACCACAACTTCATCTTGCCCTGATTATCTCCAGAACACTGTGTTATTGCTGGGATATTGATGGGACATGATAACAACCACGCCTTCATCCTGCCCTGATTATCTCCAGAACACTGTGTTATTGCTGGGATATTGATGGGGCATGATAACAACCACACCTTCATCCTGCCCTGATTATCTCCAGAACACTGTGTTATTGCTGGGATATTGATGGGGCATGATAACAACAACATCTTCATCTTGCCCTGATTATCTCCAGAACACTGTGTTATTGTTGGGATATTGATGGGGCATGATAACAACCACAACTTCATCTTGCCCTGATTATCTCCAGAACACTGTGTTATTGCTGGGATATTGATGGGACATGATAACAACCACGCCTTCATCCTGCCCTGATTATCTCCAGAACACTGTGTTATTGCTGGGATATTGATGGGGCATGATAACAACCACACCTTCATCCTGCCCTGATTATCTCCAGAACACTGTGTTATTGCTGGGATATTGATGGGGCATGATAACAACAACATCTTCATCTTGCCCTGATTATCTCCAGAACACTGTGTTATTGCTGGGATATTGATGGGGCATGGCCTGTATGCAGCTTGAATATTGATGGAATATAACGGAATATAGGTGTGATATAGCCAGGATGAAACTGGGATACTGCTCCGATTGTAACGATACTTCTCACATGAATGCAAATGTGCATGTTTATACTTCGCCAGGTAATAGTAGCACTACGCTAGAGAAGTATGCCGCCAACCCCCTCGACGAAAAAATTGTAGAAACAGGCTACCTATCAGTTGACTTCAACGGGTTCCAGTTCAGAGTCAACAGCAAGGTGTTCTCCGATCCGAAAATGAGGAAAGGTGTCGACTTTAAGGTCCTCACACAAGAAGCCGCTTACCCTTGTCTTCAACTCAACGTTGACGTTTCCAAGTGGAGGGCCGGTAAATATCATTCTCGTGCATTAATCTGCGGTTCACTAAGCATCTTTGGTTTGCCATACAGCTTAATTTCATTCAACAGTTGTTTATTAAAATAACAATGTGTGTATATACATAATGATTGTTGTAGGCGATAAGATCGTCATAGCTTCAACCGACTTCGACTGGAGACAGGCTGAAGAAATGACCATCAAGAGTTGTCCTTCTTGTGCCGTCAACGAGATCTGTCTGACAAGTAGGTGAAGCTGAAGGGTTTCGTGCTTGCCGCCAATGCTTCTGCATGTAATGTACATCAAGAATTTCCCTGTTTTCACCACCAATTTAAGGTGTATTACTTTCCCTGAACCTTTGTCATATGGATAGATACATGAATGTTCATGTTCATATGTGAAATCTTTTATTCAATTTGATGACATTTATGTATAAGTTTAACACTATTTCGCCTCCAACAGAGCCACTGAAATACATGCACTATGGGGAGGTAACTCTTGGTGTGGACGAGAGGGCGGAAGTGGGGCTGTTGAGTCGGAACATCTTCATAGAGGGCGTTATACCGGAAGAGGGCTGCAGTATCAACGAGCCGGAAGATCAATACTTCTGTGACTTGTTTGGTTTTGACACATTCGGAGGTCATATCAAGGTGAAACGACATTTTCGTCTGAAGTAACGATTTGAAAGACCAAGTATTAGAATCTTCAATGTGTTTTGAACAGTTGTCAACTTCAACTTAATGTACAAGGAAGATCCCATGAGCACGGGTAGGGCTCTGACAAAGTATTGACGATTCTTAGGTTGATTTTGAGATTCATTTATATGTGTAAGGCTTTTATTGTTCAGTCTTCTGCTGCGTAACTAACATTTAATCTGAAAATGTATCAAAGTTGTGAGCTCTGTGTTATTAATCAACAAATATAACCACGAAAACTATTGTGACTTCATTTAACTTTATTCTTGCTTTAGGTTGTCAGAGGCTTCGAGGCTGCTCACATCCAGGGTATAGAGCTCTACCACATGGGGCAGCAGCGATTTCTGGGTGAGTTACAGTGAGAGATTGGAAACTACGTCCAGATACCATTGGTCAAAATTTGATATGTTGAACTTATAGTTATCTCAAAGTAAATATACTCGGATCTGTATATTCTAATTGAGTCACCATTTTGCGGTTGTGAAAACGTATTTACGCTTTCAACTTCCACACACGTGTGTTTGACTGTACATGTGTTGACATAAAATCTGACCTTAAACTAAATTATCTTTCGCAGGTACCTACCCGCTCCATTTCCACATGTGCGACGACGTGGACGGCAACTGGTTCCGTCACAACTCCATCCACCACTCCTTGACGAGATGCGTCACTGTCCACGGCTCCGATGGCGCTGAGGTTGGAAACATAGCTTTAATAGATTGGCCTCCAGAGATTGATAACATGCTGTTTTGTGATTTTGTCTCTCTTGGAGACACATTAAGCATATTACTTTTTCATCATCATAACTTTGCAGATTTTTAATGGAACGTGTGTTATCTGAACAATGTTAGGCTGTTTGTATTAATCATTTCTGACGCTACGGCAGAATGTTCCGTGACTCTCGATCTGAAAGGACGTTGGGTGAGATTACTTGATATTTTCCAAATTTCTCCTCCGTTTGAAACAATTAACACATTGTTAAATTACAGTTGTACTTACCTTGAGATGACCGACCGCCGCCATATGGCTGGAATATTACTGAGTCCGGCGTAAAACTAAACTCACTCACTCACTTGAGATGACCCATGTTATAGTCAATAACATAAAGTCATGTTAATCACAACCATCCGATGCACATAATTAGTACCTCATCCATAATGTGACATGCATTGCTTCCTGGTGTAAATATATACACAATGTTTCTACATAGGAATATATTCACGTTAACACCAGGTGTCTCACACTTCAGTAATTACAGGTATCTCACGACGTATATGCACTTAAGACACTTCCCTAACGAGCACCATCTCTTTACGTCTTGACACCAGGTGTCTCACACTTCAGTAATTACAGGTATCTCACAACGTATATGCACTTAAGACACTTCCCTAACGAGCACCATCTCTTTACGTCTTGACACCAGGTGTCTCACAATGTGTGCTATCTCCACCGCGGCCATGGCTTCTTCCTGGAGGACAGCGCAGAGCAGAGGAACGTCTTCGACAGCAACCTGTGTATCGGCACCATGCACGGCACCCACATCCTGTCCGACATGAAGAATAAATGGTGCAATTCTACAATGAAACCTTTTTGCGAGTATGTATAATCTCATCTCCTGAAATTATAATTCTGTATAACTACGTTGTTTTTTTTACAACATTTTCTTCGTTGCATCAACGATACAACGATGTCATTTCAGCAAGTTTGCCACTGATGTTCAATGCATTCTTGTTAAAAGGATACACTGACAACTTGTGTTTCCAGCGCCCTCTCCTCCTACTGGATCACTCACCCCAACAACACCTTCATCAACAACGTGGCCGCCGGCTCAGATGTAAGTATACAAAGGTGACTGTAATTACCTGGGAGCTGTGGGGCTAAGGTTAGCAAACATATTATTGCCTATGTTCTTCATACAACTATGTATAGACGTAATGATTACAGGGATGACTAATTAATTTCAAATACCTTTCAATATGACATTTCGGGGTATATCCGATACAGAGAGAAGTCATAAAAAGCCAATCCGATCTTCACTGATACTACAGCATCGGGCACGTCACCAAATAGAAAGACGTGGTTATGCTCACATTAGCTTTATTGAATGTCAATCTGTAGGTGACTGAGTCACACAAGCACTGACGAGCTATTCAATGTATTGCTTTTCATGTAATTGACAGAACGTAGGATTCTGGATACTAGCCTCCAAGTTTCCCCTCGGACCCTCCCGACAACGCCAGGAAGAGAGGGGGCTAGTTCCAAAACTGCATGCCATGCAGACAAAGATCAAGGAATTCAGAAACAACACGGCTCACTCGAACGTCAAGGTTAGTAGAATGTATGTGTATATCCACACATACACATACACATAAATATACATACTTTCATGTTAAAGTTGTATTTGCAACTGATAGAGATACAAATATGAATATGTTTATAGAAGAGTAGGTGTATTTTAGGATATTTCAATTTTAAGAACGTGAAGTTGTATAAGACTCTAAACGGGTTACCTCAGATATTATGTTTTGTTCAATTACATTGTTAAATAATATTAAGTTTGGAAAGATAATTAACTTGACATCTCATTCGTTTAACAGAGAGCCCTGCGAATCGATCACCGTATATCTCATGGAGAGGTGAAAGACGGCGTTTTTGTCCCCGAGAATGGAGTATTTAGTGGCACTATATCACACACACCAAGGGATCCGCCGACAGAAACCAGAGGATTTCTTGACAAATCCTACCTCTATGGGTGAGAGTTATTGACATGTTGTCTTAATCATTTGGTGGTGGCTGTGATAAACGGTATTCCATGGATGCCAATGAAAAGGCCTGGGAACAGTACTACTATGGATCAATGTTTACGATGATATAATGACACGAGGGTACATTCGAAACCAGTTTTGGAAACTGTGCCCTTGTGTGCAAACACCATTACTTTCTTGCTTCTCGTGGATGCAGAGGATGTTCCTCTAAAGGTCTGCAAAGGTCGCACAATACTTCTTCCCAAGACATTAGACTTGACTAATCCCAAAACTTCCGCCCTAAAACGTGTTTAAATACTGTCATCATTTTGCTCTTCAAATGAGTGCAGAAGGGAGCGAGGAAGAGATGTTGAGGGTGCAGGGACAAACGTTCCTTGCACCAAAATGATTTTTGAAGAGGTAACCTATCCACGTGCTGGACTGACTACAAGAAGGCCTACGACTCTGACACCTACGAAAGGATTATGAAGTCCCTGAGCGACTACTTCACTTACACAAGCAATGAGTTGCTGATCAACTAAACCCTCGATGTACTTGCGAGGGCAGGTGACTTAAAGTCTATTCCAATCACAAGGGGAATATCCCAGGGGGACCGGTTTAGTTCTTTTTATCTGTCTTCAAATCAATAAAGAGGATAAGTCCCATCCCTGGCATCCGCAGCACAAATCTGCTTACTCCTATCCTTTATACGGGTGACATCGAGCTCCTTGTCTAAGGGGACACCAGTTTCAAAGAACAGGTTCTGCTTGTTGAGTCCTTTTGTAAATGATATAGGCATGACATTTGAACTCGACAAATGTAATACTCTTCATTTGAAACGTGGCAAGTGAATCCTGGATCAGTCAAGTTTACAGGTGGAGTTATTGATTATCTCTTGAAAGATCAGGCTTTCATCTATCTTGGAATGTAGATTCGAGACAAGCGCCAAAATTCAAGAAAAACATTAGGCTGTGTATAAATCTTGGTTAAAGAAAATCTGGAGCTCAGAGCTAAATGCTGGAAACAAGGTCAAAGCCACAAATACATTTGCTGTGAGCGTCCTTTCCTATTCGTTTGGAGTAGTTAACTGGACAAAACAAGACATCAAGAATCTTGACCGCCTGACCAGAAGGATCATGTGTGAGTCCACCACACTTGTTCCTCTCTTAATGGTGCCTTTTGTTTGGTACTGCGCGATCTCTTGGCCACAATCGGAAGAGTGTCCAGGTTCTCCACCGGGAGCACAGTTCCTCACTAACACTCTGGATAATGCAGAAGAGTGCAGTGTTGGAGGGTCTCCATATTCTCTGGAAAGTGTTGATGGGTTCGTCTAAACAGCGCTTCCTGCAAGAATTTGCTGTGAGCGTCTTTTCCTATTAGTTTGGAGTAGTTAACTGGACAAAACAAGACATCCAGAATCTTGACCACCTGACCAGAAGGATCATATGTGAGTCCACCACACTTGTTCCTCTCTTAATGGTGCCTTTTGTTTGGTACTGCGCGATCTCTTGGCCCCGATCGGAAGAGTGTCCAGGTTCTCCACCGGGAGCACAGTTACTCTCTAACACTCTGGATAATGCAGAAGAGTGCAGTGTTGGAGGGTCTCCATATTCTCTGGAAAGTGTTGATGGGTTCGTCTAAACAGCGCTTCCTGCAAGAATTTGCTGTGAGCGTCTTTTCCTATTAGTTTGGAGTAGTTAACTGGACAAAACAAGACATCCAGAATCTTGACCACCTGACCAGAAGGATCATATGTGAGTCCACCACACTTGTTCCTCTCTTAATGGTGCCTTTTGTTTGGTACTGCGCGATCTCTTGGCCCCGATCGGAAGAGTGTCCAGGTTCTCCACCGGGAGCACAGTTCCTCACTAACACTCTGGATAATGCAGAAGAGTGCAGTGTTGGAGTGTCTCCATATTCTCTGGAAAGTGTTGGTGGGTTCGTCTAAACAGCGCTTCCTGCGAGAATTCCCATTCGCTGTCTGGGCTGTTTCGGATGCGTGTAAAGGGGGCAACTGAGCTGCAGATGCGTTTAACCAGCATGACAGTGTCAGGATCACTCGAACCATTTGATCTTAATCTGTAAAACAGAATAATAACATCCAAATGTGACTCCATTTAGGTACACCAAAGTACACAATAGGTATTGAGTTTGTTTAAATAATTTAAATACTATTTTGTGTCTTTACAGGTTCACAGCATACAAAAATAACGACCTGAATGTGTGGACGAAAGCTGGAATCGTTATCATGAGTAACTTCACGTAAGAATCAACAAAAACTGAATCATTGATTCACGGCAGTATATAACGTATTGAACGATCTACATTTGGGACCGTAACACAAAATGCAGGTTTAACCTTACTTCTTGATTTGGAAGAACAGTTTTCACCATTTGTGTCATAGGATGAACCACTAGGTAGTCATATCGGTTGAAGAATATCTGCTATGGAACAATACGGCTTGTTTAGCTGGAACAACTGTTTATTATGTTAACACGAACATGTTTTATGCCAGAATTTGCATTTGTCATCAATAGTGTCTGCTTCATGTAAACAGAGACATTTGTATTGCATTAACAATAGTGATGAAGTCAGGATTCTAGTCCGATTCATTTGAACTGCATTAAATTTTCTTGAACGGTTCACATATTTTCCCACAGCCTGGCAGATTCTATGAGAGGCATCACTATGGCTGCAGGGACGTCTGAGACATACGCTGAGATTACGAACTCGCTGTTTGTTGGGGAGACGGACAACCTCGGGGAGCCCCAGGAACCCTTCGGCCGGTCAAGATCAGGAAATGAGTATGTTATAATGTTTAATGTATGCGTCGAATAAACAGCAGGTAGGATATATTAAGCCTGACCGAGCTGGACATCATGTTATAACAAGCACACCATAAAAAAGATGAAGGCTACTAGCTTGATACCATTCATTTATAAGCACCCATTGTAAATGGTTATTGTCTTGTTAAAGCAGAAATAGCAACAATATTGAATTTTATACTGATTGGTTTTTTAGAAATGAGCCTCTCCAAGGAGTGTTGTTCTACCAGGGTCCAGGCCACGTGACAAATACCTTCTTCGACAAATACGAGACGAAGATGTCAGGATCAGTGACCAGATACGCAGGGGCCGTCAGCGTGAAGCGCAGCAACCCGTACCCCCCTAAAGCCAGCAGCCATGTTGAGGGGATCAAGTTCGGCTTCTGTGACGTGGTGTGTATTTGTCCGCTGTGACAAATCAAAGCATATTTACCAGGTGGTACAGTTTGAAGTAGAACCTCAGTCAAAACTTATGACGTGTGATATATATGTCGTGATGTAACAACGAAGGGTAGTGTTGTTAGTTCTTCTCCATAAGGTGTTACCTTGTGTAGTTGTACTGTATTAGTGAACTATCTATCATTCAGACTGAGGGCAACTGGGCCTTTAAGGGGGATCCATCTGTCCCTACAATAAAGAACAAAGACGGCAACAGACAAATCACCTTCAGGGACATCGATGGTGGCGTCTCCGGTACTCCGGGGACCCAGTTCGTGCCGAACACACGTTTCCACACCACCAACCAGTGTGACTATAGGCCGGTCTCGAACTTCGCAGTGTGTCCCCATGACTACGCTAAGGTAGGAACATTATTAAAAATCACTCTCTTGAACTGTTTAATTGTTGCCTCAAAGTGAAATGATAGTGTTTAGAATTACATCTGTAATCCTTTCATTCAAAGCACTCCCCCCAGTTTCTCCAAAATATTAGTTACACTGAAAATGTATAAGCTTAAGGTAGAGAGTGTGCTGATGGTCATGAGATGGTTTTGACACGCATAACGTTTTTCTAAAAGGTTTTATTGACTGACATACCCGATGCTGCTATAATATTGCTGACGAATGTGAAACTCGACACGTTCTTCTGCTTAGGAAGTCATGATGTTCTTAACTTACATTCCAGGCTCTCTTTAGAGGAGACGGAGCTCTTAAAACATTAGACATGAACTACCCAATGTACATGCGCCGGGACGACAGACCTGATGATCCTTTTGCCCTAGAAGGTATCTTTCTTATCTATCCAGAGATGTTTAAGCTTGTTCATGTTAAGGCGTCGAGGACCTTCACTTCAACACAAAATAGGCTTAAACATATGAGATATGGGGAATGATATAAATGTTTTAATGTCGACAGCAGGCATATGTTCCAGGTTTTGCAAATGATTATTGTGAGTATACCACGATCACGTATCATTTTCTACATTTTCAACGTATATTGTGTTCAACAATTTTAGAAAGGGACGTACCGTAAATGCTGCGTCATACTTGTTTAATAGAACAGCGTTGATGAAGTTAAGGTTTCAGCTGTCAGCTTGTTGCTGGGTTGCTCAATAACTGGTATTGCGATAGCTGTGATGAAATAAAATGTAATTTTCCATTTTTATTTTAACTACAAAAATAACAGATACATGAGTATCAAGGAATCTTAATAACGGTTGTTGGACATCAGAGGTATCAGGTTTCACTATCAAACACAAGGATCATACATCTTCTTGATTGTGAAAATATTCAATAACGTCCCTCCTTGACAGGTACTAAGGGAAATATCTACCTGGTTATCAAGAAGAAATCCTACACCGTGTATTTTAACGGAACAGCTCCGACGAAACTACAGGTATCTGCAGAAAATCTAGAGAGGTAAGTTCTGTACAGCAAAGGATCGACCCTGATTACACAGACTTACAATATATTTTTAAAAGCCGAAATGATTATCAACTATAAGCCATGAAACCTAACGGTCTGATTTTTTTATATGCCTGCCTGAACGTTTGCACGTACATTTAAAAACACATATGCTGTGCAGTAACTCTACCTTTCATTGACATCACAATGTATGGAGTTACTCAATGTTTGGTTGACATCAAAGTGTATCTATGGTTGTTTCAGTGGTGACTATGTCAGACTCGGACTGTGCTACCCTAAAGACGTTACCAGCTTCACCTTCTCCAGTGGACTTCCTAAGATAAAGTCTTCTACTCCTGCTTTCAACGTCAGCAGCATCAGCGATCTGGACAGCGACACCACCGGGAGGGCTTACTTCTGGGACAAGTCCACAGGGTGGGTACAGGTGCTGCAGGTGTAGGGACGCAAGGTCAGTTAAGGACAGGTATTACAGGGCGGCTAATAGATGCTGTGGTAAGGCCATGTCCAGGGTGTTGACGAGCTAAGGACTATAGAGAGAGGAAAATTAGACACGTCTCATTGAAAAGATGGTATGATTAAGGAGACTACACAAGCCCCATTGAGGAGAGGGTATATACAGGGTGGATGCAGCTATTTCTTTCTATGGAAGCTATGCCCTGGGTATGGACTCAGTGATTTTCACAGGATGGGTAGAGGTACCATTATTGTACACACGTGTGTAGTATTCACACGTTCAAATATCATTTTGTTGATGTCCTTATTTATATTCTCATGCTTTACAGGTTGTTGTTCATCAAGATATACTCCAATGTCGATCGCGTTGATGGCGAGAAGTGTCCAGGATACAAGTGCCCGTCACTAACCATCACCAGAACTGGTGGCAGTGATGACCTCGTCGACTGCTACGACGACGCATACAATGGAGCCTACAACAAACCTGAAGATGTAAGTGATGTTCATTAAAGCTTAGCTGCAACCAACAAAATAAACATAATTAAAACACAATTATCATTTTTTAATTACATATAATATACATTGCTGATTGTGAAAAAACAAATAAACAAAATTATAAGCGTACAATCGCAGATCAAAAGTGCAATAGTTTGTACTTGGGTTTACAACCCTCGAAACAAAGCACCCGGCATACTGAACCTAGTCAGAGATAGTGGGCGTGTAACGAAGTCTTTCATTGGCTGGTTTATTTTCCGACACCCTCAGGGCTCTTTGTGTGTGTATATAGATATTGGGTTTTGTAAATGCATGCTCATTTTATGTGTATAACATTTTGCAATCAACAGACATCATAACATGTCATGTGTACAAGTATCACACCTGCTTGTCTGTGTAATTACATAATGTGACACAGACAGAACTCAGATGACGAGCCACAAATCAATGTGTTTTGTTTATGGTTTATAGCCTGATAGGTGTTAAGTTCAAATTGCATGTGGTCAATGATTGAAGTTATGCATTGCAAATTGTCATTAGCAGGCAGGCAGACATATAGGTGTCAATAAAACAGACATTGAGCTTTGTCTGTAACAACGGCATATCTATATCACAGCTAGAAATTATGACAATGCTAAATAATGACGGTGCTTTTAAGTATCGAACTGAGAAAGTGACTCGGTAAGAAGAACGTGTGGTGAAATAGCTAAATGAAATTATATAAACAGTTAAATCGGTAAAGTACTGTCATAACATATAAAAAGTTCGCGCCTGTGAAATATCAACAAAAAATAGCTCACATCAAAGCCTATTCCGAGTACTCACCGCCAGCGAAGGTTTTCCGTCTTGAAATGTCGAACGCCTCACTGGTTAACACATACCTGAGTAGATCTAGGTCCTTAAACAAGGCTCGATTATGTAACGAGTAGAATATTTACCGTTTGTTGTTTGTGTACACAACCAAGTCTTCTCCTGCTCTCGACCTTATAATCCGGGTATCCCAGTTCAAGCCGCGCGAACCTATTCACTGCACATGCGCTATGTGCGCAGCGCAGCGCACCTGTTGAAACCAATTTTCACCCAAGCTGTGGCTTTTTTAGTGAATCGTTTGAACTCCAACTTCGCGGGATATTTTTCATTGTGTTATTTGTCAACTTTATACGGTGAATTTGCATATTTTTTTATTTGTTACTGTGAGTCCATACCGAAAGGTATCAGAATCTGCAAAGTTGTGTTTTGTGTTGCATGTAAGCTTTAAGCAAATTTTGAAAGATTTCTTTGTGCAATAGTTCATACGTAAACACTGACATCCAATATTTCAGGATGCAGTGAATATACCCACGGCTAAATCCTGCACCAAGACAACATCAGAGGTGAGTTGAAAATAATTCATGTCTTGGCATTTAACACATCAAGGAAGAGAACATGTAATATCTCTTTAAGTAACACGAATCTAAACTTTAATGATTCTATCAATCTAAACAGCAACATGGACTTCAACCTGACCTCTTTCAATGGATGTACTCAGTGTATACCTATACGTCTGCCTTACATGACTAATTTCATGTTAATGTGTCATGGAATTCATTTTTATCGGATTCTAATAATGTTCTCCTCCAGGGCTTTGGTGCCGAGGTGGAGTCCAACTTCTTCAGTGCTGCACCTTCTACACCAGTGTGTCCAGCTGATCCTGTACATGAAGGTAACTACTCTACTACAGTGTATCTCGCAGTACCGACTAAGATCGTCTTGTGGATTAATCGTACATTCAATCTTTCAAACTTATTAACTCCGTAAAAAGTTTGTCTGTCAAGCTATGTCAGCTGTAAGCCATTATGCTGTTTATTAAGTAGTCACCATAAAGTCCTTTACCCAAGTTCGCGAGTGAACCCTTGCCATTCTCACCATAGGTCGATCAACACCCGAACTGAAAGGTTGCTACAAAGACAGTTTCAGCTTCAGAGATATCCCCCATGCCTACATCAAACTAGGCATGTCCATGACTGTCAGTGCCTGTGTAGAGAGGTAGGTGGACAAAATGTGTTGTTCAATTCATGGATACTCCAAACAGACATGGCAGACCATGTTAAAGGTCAGGGTACATTTGTAATCCATCACTTTCACGAAAGATTTGTTTATGTTTGGATAGTCTATTTATTTATTAATATATATTTCTACCCCATTGTGTTTCTCAGATGCTACTACCGGGGATATGTATACGCTGCTCTGCAGGGCGGTACGGAGTGCAGATGTGGTAATATGTATGGAGGCTTTGGAACCAGCACCATGTGCTCCAAACCCTGTTCAGGCAACAACACCGTCAACTGTGGAGGTTCCCTGGCTAATGCTGTCTACACCACCGGCAAAGGTAAGCGTAATCAGCTGATAAATGTAGCTTCATCAAGCAGAGTTAATTGTGCCCGATTTGTACGAAATGAACGAAACCCAACCGTGCGTATTGTTTTTGTAATGCCAACTTACAACCCTGCAAGGTAGAAAGGGCCTCGAGAAGATATATAGTTTCCAACTGATGTGTATTTCAGCTGCACCTTCGGCCATGACCACGTGTCGGACCACAGGCGTGGTGATTGACGGGAAGTGTTATTACCTCACTTCCGGTACCTATTCATACGTGGAAGCTCAGGCACAGTGCGTCAAAGTTGGAGGGAACTTGGCCACCATCAACTCAGAGAGTGTACAGGTAATTTACATACGTTTCATGTGTATTACTCGGTTAACCAAAGACAAATACGAAGGTTCAGGGCTATTGTGGATAGAGGGGCAGAAGTGAACCTTGGGTGTTGTTACAAAGACGTTGTTATGTATGAAAAATTGATGTTCTTCAAGTACGAATTACACATTCAAATGCTTGAAGACCAACACGACCTCTTCTACCCACGCTGCTGATGTTGATGATTTTCCCTTTCAGTCTGAAGTGGAGCGCTACTTGAGACCCTTCATGGCTGACGCGTGGTTCGGGCTTAACGACGTCATCGATGAAGGCACCTACGTCTTCGTTGATGGTACAGCGCTTGGCAGTTACATAAATGTTATGCCTGGTCAGGGCACGTCACGAGATCAAGACTATGGAGGTGAGTATAGTAGGAATCCATTTAATCTGGTATGTTCATAAATGGATGAAAATGTACATTGAACTGAACTGCGGCATTAAGCATGCTGTTGTTAAAACCGATATCCCACAATTATGGAATCAAGATTTACAGACGATGTTAATCATATTACAGAAGATATGATGTTCATTGTCAGGGAGATAAAGCGTGTTGGGTATTATTTTACAGTGCTCAGAGCAATCAGCCTGTACGGCTGGGATGACGGTGGAACAAAGAGAGAGTCACCGAGCCTTGTGTCAGCTGCCCCTCAGTGAAAGCTCTCCTTCTCCAGGTACGTGTACGGTCAGCTACCCCTAGTCGAAACTAACAACGCTACCCCATCCGACCCCAACCAAAACGAACCCAAAACCCGACAACCACCGCATCACCAGGTATCCCAGTTAATCTGATCGCGTCACAGATAACTAGAGATGCTGCTTATCACACAAAGTAGCTCACTTGTCTACATAAGGATATGCGAAATGTACAAACACTGCTCATGTGACCTTCACCTTCATTCCAGTAAGTTGTGGTCATAACAACTACGGACAGCAACTGAACGGCGGCGACTGTTACCTCGTCATCAACACGAACCACGTATACAAAAGCGCCAAACACGCCTGCTACACCAGACGCGGCACTCTGGCTGATGTATCGAACGCTCAGACATTGGTAGGTACCTCGTTACCATTACTACAGAAGGTATCTTTTCAGTAACTGGCACCAAAGAATGTTTCTAGAATCAGAGCTACAGAGGGTAAGTAACAACCCCAACTCCGGAAGTACCTGTAATAAGACCTACGGAAATACTATAGTCCCGTTACAATAAGTAGTCTCTACAATCAATAATACAGAGAGTGTCTGGGAAAATTAACGACAAAAGGTGTCGGTAACAGTCAGTACTCTGGCAACTATAGCTAGATAGGTTCAGGAAGCATTGAGGAAATATTTACTAAATATGTACCTTTATAGACCGGCATTCAATATTAATTAATACCGTCACTGATACAAATCGTATATAGTACTTAGAACTGATTCCTTAGGCGCTTGTTGTATGGTGTCCTCTCTCTCTCTATATCCAGGAACACATCTACTGCTTTGGACAGTCCATGGACTACTGGGTTGAAAAGGAAGGAGAGGAGTTTATCGGTGAGTAGGTGGAAATATTAGTTACTGACGATTTTCCAAGTAATCTATGCATGAAGATGTCAGCAGCACTTTATCTGTATTTGGATTATGGCAAAAGGTCTTTTGCAGCGATATCATTGCAGTTTTCAGATACCATTCTGAAAGGTTTTCATTCTGTGTGAATTCATTTGATCTGCAGGGTTGGAAAACACAAAGCTGTTCAGTAAGAAAGTGATTAGATTGGGAACCTCCATCGGTGTCGTCTGTAAGATCGGTGAGTATATATACATGTATCTATCGTCCAAGCCAGAGTAATACAATGTCATGAACAAAACCCTAAGAAAACACTTATGCTCTTTACATTCAATTTAATTTTTGTCATATAACAGTTGCCAGTAAATCAGTATCTGCTTCAAATAGTCGTGTCCAACACTTCAGGATCGTTCCTGTTATTTTCAGAAAGCCTGTCAGCTGCAAAGCCGTGCTCAACTGGTATGTTTTGTTTTTCTGCGTCCAGTCATTCTAAGAGATCACCCGGTAATCAGCATAATATATCTAAACTTTAATCTGAATGTAACAGATTACCGTCGCAGTGGAGTTCATTCTGACTTCATCGCCCTGAAGCCAACGCTTGAACCTGCAAGTGTATCGTCAACAGGTCTTCGAAATGATCTTGGAATGCAATTGACATATGTTTTGCTCAAATACGTCTTCCTTCCTCAAGTGGCCAACTGTGCTGGTAACCAGTATAACAAAGTGTCATCCTGCTTGTGTGTGTACTCAAAGAATGAGTCTGTAAAACAGCATTGCCTCAAATGTTTAGGGTGTTTATAAACTGTGTTGAACAAAACATCAACCTCATCATTGTTTCATACGCTTCAGGCTGGGTTCAGAAGGACGACAGGTGTTACCTCTACTCTGGATTGCGTGCCAAATACGACGACGCAATGGATTTCTGCAACCAGTGAGTTGAAATTTATTTTGTGTAGAGGTCTGTATGTCCAAGTGAGGCAGTCCCTTGACCAGAATGTCATTGTGATCAGAGGACAGTCCTTCAACGACTTTATTTGTAAGTGTTAGGCAGTCAAGTGTCCATTATGTGGTGATGAGTGATTAACACACCAGTGACGACTGCCTCCTTGTGAGTGGTACACCGTCACTGGTATGTCTTGGTGAAGAGTACATTCGAATTGTTAGTGGATGTCTACATCAATGCGCGATTCCCTAGGCTCAATTCTGAAAATCCCATGTACCAAGTCATACTGCTGTAACATTTATTATGCTGAAAAAAACTGGTAACGTGGTAATGCATCAAGGCATGTCTTTGGACATTTCAAAGAATAACTATTTCGTTCATCTGAACCACCACAGACAAGATTAAAGCATTAACATAGTTTAATATATATGATACTTAATAAAGGCTTTGGAACACTCACTTATTATTCAGTAAATGTTCGCTAACATTTATTCCAGAAGTGGTTAAAGATTCTCGAAGCGTGGATGATTCTAAGACACAATACGTTTTCAATATGGGTTAGCTTTCGTCATCTGAATAACGTCGTACTGCTTGCATTACAGAGGTGACAGTCAGATTCTGACGGTACTCAGTGACGCTGAAAACACCTTCGTGGGAGACACGTTGAAGACAGAGACAGAGACGCCCGATGTCTACATTGGTGAGTAGGCTTGTTATGTTGCTGGGGATAGAGGCGCCATTAGTCTACGGTAATGAAGGCTGTGTCTCTCAGTCGTTACAAGATCCGCTGAATTAAAGGTTCAGTTTGATCATGTGAGCATGAAGACAGACACATGAACAAACTGTAATATTGCTGGAACCGTTACTCATTCACTCTTCCTTCATACCTTGTGTTTCGAGCTTTAGCGTGAAACAGAATGGAATCACTATTGTGTTTGAATGAGACATTTAACCACCCGCTAATTCATTTGCTGACTGTATTAAGATCAAATTAATCTATATTTGTCTGTTCTTAGTTTCAAATAATAATTTGAACCAATGGAATATTGATATGGATATTAACGAATATGAAGGAAACACAGAACTACAGAAAACAGGAGGGGTAAAATGCACGTTGAAACTCAATGTTTGACTCCATAAATATGCATTTATCATTTCAAGACTCGTGTTTAATGATGCATCGTGTGTGCAGGATACGTGTACAACGACGTTACCAGCGCCTTTGAGTGGGACGACGGGTCCACATCAACCTACACCAACTGGAACAATAGACACGGGGAGGACAATGTGGACAATGGACGATGTACCAGGCTGCAGTCACGTAACTACAGATGGAAGAATACCAGATGCAGCAAGAAGATTGTTGTTATGTGCAAAGCGCCCACTGTGGCGTGATTATAGTCAGTTAGCTATAAATATTCGTACATATAAACTTCAATATATGAGTATGCTGATATTGCTGGCTTACTTCGATTTGATGCAATATAAATGAAATAAGATTTCATGGATACATTAAAATGAAATAAGATTTCATGGATACATTAAAATGAAATAAGATTTCATGGATACGGATCCTTCCGATTCAGGGTATGCTGGATATATTCATATAATTCATTTCATGTTAATCCATGAAATTTTGATTGGCTGACCAAGCAAATTGTAATGCGTTTATGTCTTGATCTCTGTCCATAATAAAAAATGTACACACTTCCTAACTGACAGGTTACTGTTTGGCTACTTCTATGGTACTTTGGTTGTATCATTGAGCTGAAGGATGTCACTGATGTCATACAGCTGTAATTATGTCCTTGTATTAATGATTAAATACTCAGACTGAGCAGTTTAATTATTGTTTTTGTATTTATAACAAGTTATTTTTGCTTTTATATCGTATAAATGTAGAAATCCGACAAGCCTTATAATGTAAAATGGTACAGTTATTTTATACAAAGGTAAGGTAACGGCAAGTTCACCCGTCACACAACTCAACTAAGACAATAATGTCATCGACAGGGAAACATGACAGAAACAATACCAAGTAGCTGTGTCCCGTGCAGGACATCAATATTTCATTGCAAATCCATCTCAAAATAGTTGGTCCTCTTTCTTCATATAGAATCCTGCCATTCATCAGAATGCGTCAGTTTAATGTCGTAATTATGTTACCTTGAGTTAGCATACATGTTTCCAAGTGCTTTCTGAGTGGGCACTTGTTCCCCTTGTACTCTGCTGGTAGATTAGGTACTGATTGCCCGGGTATCGCACACAGGGTACATGACACTATGTACCACTCCAGACCGGTATACGCATCTGTTAGATGCATATGATACATGTGGTATGATAAACGAAAGGTGTTGCAGATTCTTTTGAATGCTGCAGTTTTCAATAAATACAAGATATAACGTTGTCCTTTCACGCTGGATCATTAACAAAGACTAAACATAACAGTGAACGTTTTGATATACCCTCGTCATACTCGTGATATGCAGTTATTTCACGTGAAATTAACCATCTACTATGAAGATGTAGGCTTGGTTCTGGCCTGCTCTTGTTACCTACATTGCGCTTGCCTCAGAGACATCGAGTCCATGCCGAGGTCCCACTAAAGCACCTGCGGTTCTTCAGATACCTTGGTCCAACCATTAGTTCCATTCCCATATGTGATTCCGGTTAATGAAAAATGATAATGTGTGACGTCCTTAATCAGAAATACAATCTGATATACTGTAGAATATCAGTCTCAGCAGTGCAACTGGAATTTCATGAACTCACGGAAAGAAGAACGGAGATGACTAGTGAATGGCGGACACTGTGAAGGATTTTATGAGCTCAGCGCGAAATATAAGCCACTCCATGACAGTCAGCGTTGAAGCTGCGCGCAGGCTGCATTCAGTGGAAACACGCCTGTGATTGTCAGTTTTACATTCTTTAATGAAATACTGGAAATAGGATTGAGTGAGTGAGTGAGTTTAGTTTTACGCCGCAATCAGCAATATTCCAGCAATATGGCGACGGACTGTAAATAATCGAGTCTGGACCAGACAATCCAGTGATCAACAGCATCGATGTGCGCAATTGGAAACCGATGACGTGTGTCAACCAAGCCAGCGAGCCTGACCACCCGATCCCGTTAGTCGCCTCTTACGACAAACATGGGCTACTGAAATAGGAAGGAAAGCTTAACAGGAAATCTTACTCATCCTCAATCACCACCTGAGAAAGGAATAGTAACCAACTCCGGAACGTCGTGTTCAAATATATAGAATCTGAAGTTGACATAGAAAATTATTTTTAGCTCATGCTCATCACTTCCAATTGCCATTCAGAGTCCTCGGGATTTCTACACTCTAAAATGCCTGAAGATTATTATGCCTGCAAATGCAACAGATCATACAGAAATGAATTCCGTTTATTATTACAGCGAGTGATGATGAAAACTTCTTAGTTAGGACAAGTTGGTTATCGATGGTACTTGAAATGACTATGATCTTCGCCGTTATAGAGGACATCGCATCTGTGCCACTTCCGGCCTTTAGACTACCGAGTCATCAGCTCATTGTACAAACATATATATACGCTCCCAAAAACGAAACGCAAAGGTGATGTTGATATATGAAATTTAATTATTTTTCAAAATTAACGTTTGATTGTAATAACTTCGCCATTATAATGGTGCTTTGTGTACATCGAACGAATGTACGGCGCAAAAACGCATATTCGGAAACTTAAATGCACGTTTACGTTCGAAAGTGTCAACTTGCATGAAACTATGCAAGAGCAGTCCTGAGAAATCGTGAGCAGGGATATTGCCTATATGAGGCCGTTTTGCTTTTAGACAGCCATTGGTATTTTTACCAAATGAAAGAATATCGTTTTGCCGCGATTTACTGCTGTAAATCAAAAACATTGGATGTCTGGAGGCTGGGGAGTCTCAATCCGCCGTTGCACGTCACCTCAATGTTCACCAGAGTACTATCAGCCGTTTATGGGACCGATATCAACTAACCAATTCTTCGCAAGATCGGCCTCGAAATGGTAGACCTCGGATTACCACTGCAGCGGAGGGTATGTACATCCGGGTACTTCATTTGTGGAAACGAACTGTTACTGCAACTGCAAGTGTCTGGTTTGAGGAGAGTCTCGGCGCAAGCCATTCGTAATCGTCTGCGAGTAGCTGGACTTCGAGCCAGAAGACCCTATTTTGTCCCTGTGCTGCGACGACTACATCGGCGTCGATAGATCCAGTGGTGGAATAACGTTCGTATCTTGAATCTACAAAACTGGCAATGTATATGGTTCGTTGGCGAATCACGCTTTCTGCTTCAGTGTCTACGTCGAAATGAAAGTTTTGCCCAGAATTGGATCGTGTGATGGAAGTGTCATGATGTGGGGGACCATATCCTACACGCAAAAGTCTAACTGAGCACCTTCAGGGCAATTTAACTGCTCTCCGGTAAAGAGACGAAATCTTAAGGATTCACTGGGTGGTAGGGTAGCCTAGTGGTTAAAGCCTTGGCTCGTGACGCCGAAGACCTGGGTTCGATTCCCCACGTGGGTACAATGTGTATAGCCCATTTCTTGGTGTCTCCCCATTATTGCTGGATTATTGCTAAAAGCGTCGTAAAACCACACTCACTCTCTGAACTCACTACAGGATTCACAATCATGGTTCCGATCACTGACCACAAGAAGGAGTTGTTCGAGCAAGATAATGCCAGGCCTTACACAGCACATGCCGTTATTCAGTATTTTTCAGAATGAGACCATTACAATACGTCCATGGCCTTCCAAACCGCCCGAACGTAACCCCATCGAGCATTTGTGGGATGACCTTGGCCGACGCGTCCGTAAACGTCAATCGACGCCCAAGACGTTAGATCAATTGTCGCCAGAATTCCACATGACCGAATTCAAAGACTTATTCAGTGCTTTGGCCAGAGAGCGGAAGGTCGCGGGTTCGATCCCCGACCGCGTCATACCAAAATACGTTAAAATAGGGTACTTGTTGGTCCCTGCCTGGCGCTCGGCATTAATGGGTACAACAAGGACTGGTTGGCTCGGAGTCAGTATAATGTGTCTGAGTGGGGTATTCATGCTTCACTGCGGCATGGAATCTCAGTGGGCTAGCACTCTAAAACCAGCTTCAGTCTGGGCTAGTAAAAGCAGCCGCATATACACATACACACGCATGCACGTCGTCATATGAGCGAAATATCTTTCAAGTACGACGTTAACCCAATTTTACCTCACCTCACCTCACCTCACCTCACCTCACCTCACCTCAGTCCTTCAGGACAACGCCCAACTGGGTATGAACGTCTTCACTTACTGAACTTTACTGAACTACACATGTTAACATACATTTGATCTTTAATATTGTCACATTTGGCTGCAACTGGTCCAGAATTACATGTGTTATCTCGCTCTAAAGTTATTAGATTACATTCGTGAACATATACCTATTCGTTTCTTTTTGGGGGAGAGTATGTATTAACTCAAACCTGAATTCTAGTAAAGACTCCATACACTGTTCTGGATTTCACAGCAAATGTACATAGTCTCGAACACAGTGTCCATCACACCATGTACGACCCGAAACAGGATTACGTACATGATAAATGTGGTAGTACACGCGGA